TCGAACTCAGACTGCCTACTTTTAAAGGCATTAGTCTCATTTCATCGCAAGCTTCCAATAGCTATCTAATTTACCATCGCAACCACAAATACAATCATGGCATTCGTAGATAGTGTCCTTCGTCGGATCGGTCAACCATCATATCATCTGTGCATCAAACCCCATGGTTCGGTCCTCAGCGGGGCTAGGGGCTTTTTCAGACTTCCTTCAGTTCCACGTTCTACTCAAACGACTCCTCACGAAGTTGATAAAGTCGAAACCGATCCCTGGTCTACCCAAAGTCGATATCGCAAGCGAGGTGGGGTTTTGATTTATGAGGTGACAAAGCGCTTACCGTAAGCTTCACTATGACTAGGCTGCCATGATCCCGTGGAAAAGCTGATTAGATGCTTCTCTTTGCTTACCATATGAGCAGGTATTCGAAGAAACAACTGTACACTTTGATCGCTGATGTAGAAGCGTATCCACAATATCTACCATATTGTCTTGGATCAAAGGTCATCAGTCATAAAGCATTGAACGAGAGCGAATCCACGGACCAGGTGAACAAAGATGACAAACCGTGGATGCAAGGTGGATACGCTGGGGAGACACATCTCATTCAACAGGAGCTTGTGATCGGATTCAAGGCCTTTGAAGAGCGTTACACAAGTCAGGTGGAGTGTCGAAAATGGGAAATGGTCAAAGTGAATTCTCTAAACTGCCGGATTGATTGAATGAATATAGTGAGCTAAAAATATAACACTGTATAGGCAACCGCAGGTGACTCCCCACTATTCAAGTGTTTGACTTCGACTTGGACCTTCCGCTCACCTGAAGAGATCTCATCCAAGAAACTTCCTGCTAATGATGGTTCAACTTCAACTTATATCTCCTTACAACTCGCCTTCGCCTTTGCTAGCCCCTTACATGCAGCTGTAGGAGAATATTTTTGGAAGAGTGTGAGTGAGAAGATGGTCCTTGCTTACCTAGGAAGGATTGAAAAAGTGTATGGAAAACCAACTCACGAGGCTAGAGAAAGTCAGCTTAGCCAAGCCGGGTCACCACAAATTGGTACTTCATTGAATGAATCAGTGATTGGTGTACATCATGGATGAATATCACGGCCTAGCTATCTGTGGTGCATATCTGGATGTCTTTCTGCCTTCAGTTGATTTTTCGCTGGACATTTCGCAATTTTTCTCTTTTCAATCCCATCTCCTGTCACAAATGATATCTGTTCAATATCTTTTCAGTGTCACCACTAGAAATCTTGGTGTAGCTTATGTGTATACGTAGCTTCACAGCCATGCTTTGTCAATCTTTTTGAATGTGTTTTGTGTCTGAACAAAATGTGTTATTGGTCATCTCACTCATCTGGGCTCATCCGGACTGCCAAAAGAGGATTTAGAAGTAGAGGTGACAAAGACTTGATTTTTGTCTTCTGCATTTTCATCTAGTGCCTAGATCACTCTGCTTTTTCAGAAGACCGGTCTACAGCGTCATGCAGGGTGAAAGTAGTCAGCAATTATGAGAGGCAATTTCATATACCATACTCCCAAAGTTCTAAAAAATACATAAAAAAGAAACAAACTTGAAACCCCCTAATGACTATGAATATATGATTGAATCTTTGGATATTAAATCCACATATTTGAACAATAAGCTTACATTGATATTCATCCTTTCAAGCTTCACATAGTCGTGAACAATCACTTCCATTGAGTCATATATCTTCACTCCAGGTTCTCAAGTCTTGGTTCAATTGACTGATATCTCAATCACTAATCCAATCATTCCAAAACAGTTATATGAAGGTATTGGTTTCAAAACAATGATACTTGAGCTCATTCTGAGTTCTATTAAAGATCCTCAACATCAAAATTGTTTTCTTTTTTCATAAGTATGCAGATCAAGTCCACTTCAATAATTCAATACTAGCCAATTTATGGTGTAATTTTTGTTGTGAATGATGCATACACATCATTCAAAAACTACTAGACAGTCTCTGAAAAGACTTCATCCTACTGAAATTTAGCAAGGAATTTTCTTGTAGAAGAGTATTTGACGGAGATCAAATATTTTAACAAAGGTTAATAATTGTTTCTTAGGAATGATTTGAGGAGATGAAAAAACACTGGTGAAAGGTTTTGTTGATTGTCATAATGGATATACTAGAATATTGATCACTTCTTGATTGAGTCACTCTAAAAAGGTTTTTGGCCTTGTCTGGCCTGCATGGGTTGAATCTTTTGAGATATTTTACCCAATTAGGCAAAAAGAAAACACCAAGAAGGAAATCACATGTGAAAGGATAAAACCTCCCACCAAAACCAGTTTGTGGAGATCTCCAAGGTTATTCTTTCTCATGAGATAAGGTTTAACCTGAGCCAAAGCAATTTTACAGTCTTTGGTATGCAAAGTATTTCACATCCAAACCAAAGAATGTTCTACTATTACACAAATCTATATCCACTTCATTTTTTCCCTTTAGTTCTTTAAATATGGTTATTCTCATTGTCATCCGCTTGACTCTCTTTAGTTCCTTCATATGTTTTTTTTTACTTTCCTCATTTTCATGCCACATAAACCCACACCAAGACCCATTGGAGTCAATCCACTGGTTCCTGGCAAGCACTGCCTTCTCCTGAGTATGAACATACCACTGGTAAACACTGCCCATCAACCCTCTGCATACA